GTTTTCCACGTGGAGGTGGAGGTGAGGGACATTAACGACAACCCGCCGCTATTTCCGACGACAGAAAAAACTATCCAATTTCACGAATCGAGACTGCTAGACTCGCGGTTTCCTTTAGAGGGAGCTTCGGATGCAGATGTAGGAGCAAATGCTCTTCTGTCCTATAAGCTCAGTCCCAGCGAGTTTTTCTTTCTAGATGTTCAAACAAATGATGAACTCAGCCAATCGCTGTTTCTTGTGCTGGGAAAATCTCTGGACAGAGAGGAAAATGCTGAGGTGAAATTGTTACTGGTAGCTACGGATGGAGGCAAGCCTGAACTCACGGGTTCTGTTCAAATACTCATTAAGGTGTTAGATGTGAATGACAACGAGCCCACTTTCCCCCAATCTGTTTACAAAGTTCAGTTGTTAGAGAACACTGCAAACGGAACCTTGGTGGTGAAATTAAATGCGTCTGATGCAGATGAAGGACCAAATAGTGAGATTGTGTATTCACTGAGTAGTGATGTGTCTTCTATCACACGGACAAAGTTCCAAATAGACCCCACCTCGGGAGAAATCAGAACGAAGGGGGAATTAGACTACGAAGAAAGGACATCTTATGAAATTCAGGTCATTGCATCTGACAAGGGAACCCCACCAATGTCAGGACATTGCAAAATTTCAGTAAAACTCGTGGATATCAATGACAATACACCGGAAGTCTCGATAACGTCTCTCTCACTACCAGTCCAAGAAAATGCTCCACTGGGCGCTGTTATCGCCCTCATCTCAGTGACAGATCGTGACTCAGGAATCAACGGTCAGGTGACCTGCTCCCTGACCCCTCATGTCCCCTTCAAGCTGGTGTCCACCTTCAAGAATCACTATTCACTTGTGCTGGACAGCGCCTTGGACCGAGAGACCACACCTGACTATAAGGTGGTAGTGACAGCCCGGGACGGGGGCTCGCCCTCACTGTGGGTCACCGCCAGCGTGTCCGTGGAGGTGGCTGATGTGAATGACAACGTGCCCGCGTTCGCGCAGCCCGAATACACGGTGTTCGTGAAGGAGAACAACCTGCCTGGCGCCCACATCTTCACGGTGTCGGCCATGGACGCAGATACGCAGGAGAACGCGCTGGTGTCCTACTCGCTGGTGGAGAGGCGGGTGGGTGAGCGCTCACTGTCGAGCTTCGTGTCTGTGCATGCGGAGAGCGGCAAGGTGTTCGCCCTGCAGCCTCTGGACCATGAGGAGCTGGAGCTGCTGGAGTTCCAGGTGAGCGCGTGGGATGCTGGTGTGCCTTCCCTGGGCAGCAATGTGACTCTGCAGGTGTTTGTGCTGGACGAGAACGACAATGCACCCACGCTGCTGCCCCACGGAGCCGTGGGAGCGGTAGGGGCAGTGAGTGAGTTTGTGCCTAGATCAGTGGGTTCGGGTCACGTGGTCACCAAGGTGAGAGCAGTGGATGCAGACTCTGGTTACAATGCTTGGCTCTCTTATGAACTGCAGACGTCGGCAGGCAATTCCCGAAGCCTGTTCCGCGTGGGCCTATATACTGGCGAGATCAGCACCACACGCGCCCTGGATGAAGCGGATGCGCTGCACCAGCGCCTGCTGGTGCTGGTGAAGGATCATGGTGAACCCGCGCTGACTGCCACAGCCACAGTGCTAGTTTCTCTGCTTGAGAACAGCCACGCTCCAAAAGCCTCATCAAAAACGTTGGTAGATGCCATTGGTCAAGAGGCATCGCTGGTGGATGTCAACGTGTACCTGATCATCGCCATCTGTGCGGTGTCCAGCCTGTTGGTGCTCACGCTGCTACTGTACACCGCGCTGCGCTGCTCGGCGATGCCCACCGATGGAACCAGTGCTCCGGGGAAGCCCGTGCTGGTGTGCTCCAGCGCGGTGGGGACCTGGTCATACTCACAGCAGAGGCGGCAGAGGGTTTGCTCTGGAGAGGGTCCGCCCAAGACCGACCTCATGGCCTTCAGCCCCAGCCTATCCCAAGGTCCAGAATCAGCAGAGGAGAGACAGCCACCCTTAGAGTCAGAATACTTAGCAAAGGTAGGCTTAAGATTTTTTTCTTGCCAAGAACGTTACTATTTATGTATTGTTCATGATTTGAGCTAATTATTCAGACCTAACACTCTGCCTTTATTTTATATCACTGTGCTGTTGTGAGATACTTGTGTATTAAGTATCAAATTCCTGTCCACAGAATAATTCTCTTAAATATTCTCACTTTCATTGTTAGGTTCATGACGAAATCTCTGTGTGAGTAATCAGACCTTGAATAATTGGAAAAAACACCCAGGAAAACCTGCTATTTAAACATTTGTTTATTTACTTATTTATTTATTATTGTGTGTGTTCATGATGCTGGTGTGTGGCTGTAGGTGTGTGATTTGAGGTCCTACAGTGTGTGGACCTCAAGGGACACTTTGTGTAGCTGGTTCTCTTTACCTTTATTCGGGCTGTAGCAAGCTAAGGCAGGTCACCAGCCTTGCTAGGCAAGACTTTTACCTGCTGAGCCAACTCACTGGCACCAAAGCATAATAATTCAATATTACTCCTAAATGTTTTCCTTTCAAAGATGTAAAAGCCCAAATTAGAAAATTTAAAAGGACTTTAAAATTTAGGACATTTCTAAACATAGATTTCTACCCATTGTATCAGAGTCTGTTTAGAGTAATATAATCTTTACTCCGGAAATTTTCCAGATTTTCTCTTTAAAATATGAATGCCAGGCTCTATATATCATTGACCTTTACAATACACATCAGCATTAAGGAATGCTGGGTAACTTATTTGTCCTTAATAAGGAAAATGAACAAAATTGGACCATAAAGATCTAACTATTACAAAAAAAATCTTTGGGTTTTCAACCCAAAGAGAGAGTGTACTCAGGAAAGAAGCCTTCAGATTTTGACATTGAAAGATTACACTGGGGTGGGTGTGGTGGCGCACGCCTTTAATCCCATCCTTTAAGCGAGAGGCCGAGGCAGGCAGATCTCTGTGGGTTCAAGGCCAGTCTTGTCTACAGAGTGAGTTCCAGCCCAGCCAGGGCTACACAGAGAGAAACCCTGTCTCAAAAAAGAAGTAAAGAAACAAAAGAAAAGAAAGAAAAAGAAAAATATTGTATTGGACTGGTGGTGTACGTCTTTAATCATAACATTTAGAAGGCAGAAGCAGGTGGATCTCTGTGAGTTTCAGTCTAGGCTGACCCACATAGCAGTTTCCATGCCAACAGTACTGAATAGTTAGTCCTTGCCTGAAGACAAATAGGGTTGGCCAAGCATCTGTATCTTTTCCTTTTCTTTGTACAAATAAGAGTATTGTGACCTAGTCTTCAGGCTAGTGCTCAACAGCTATCAACCCAGTGTTGATAGGCTAAATCATGCAGGTTTCATTCTGTGAAGATGCTGGCCACTTCTCACTCTATGCCAGTTTACACTTTCCTTCATCCTGAGCTTATCCCATTACCTAGTTTGTGGGCATGTTACTTGTAGAACAGGGGTTTTTCCAAAATGCAAGGCCCTGCATGGATCATTGCATTTCCCCTGGAAACTCCTGCAGTGCGTGTTTAAAACACTGGGCTTGACCAGTAAATGATACACTTGTGAAGGGTTTTTTATTTTTATCTATCTCTCTCTCTCTCTCTCTCTCTCTCTCTCTCTCTCTCTCTCTCTATCTATTTATTTATTTATTGCTGTAGTTTTCTTTCAGGCAAAGGAAGATGTGTTTGGGTGAGTTAACGGTCTAAAACAGTATTCTGGCATCTAATTATTTACTGTCTTTCAGTGGATTAATACAAGAATTCCACAAAGTGATCTTAGCCTTAGCGCCTGCTTAGACTGTCCATTTCAACCTGAGACCTTTTTTTTTTATTATTGGAGTTGGAAGTTTGGTGGATGTACTTGAACTTTAAGGAGACTCCACTCCTACAGGAAATCTATCATCTTCTCAGAGTTATTAAGTTTTAAAATGTAAAGTATATATTTCCTGAAAATGAGAAAAGTTCATCTGAGGTTTTACAAAGGGAAAAATGGCTTGAAAATGAGAAATATCACCTTTATTTGGAAAAAACCATTCCATTTAGAGTACATAGCTACTTGCCTTTATGAAAGCTTGTAGTGTGAATCTAATTGATCTTAATGATAAATACCTCGAGTCACATATTAGGGATGAAAGCTGAAAGACCAGAGAAGCAAAGCAGTCAGGCACTAAAGTTCTTCCTCTATGAAATTCTCAGACTGAAAGACTGAACTCCCATTTCCTCCCACCTCATATTTCTGTCTCTGCTCAGCCATATCACTTCCTGTCTCCACCTCCCTAGGGCTGGGATTAAAGGTGTGTGTCTCCCAAGGACTAGGATCAAAGGCATGAGATCCCAAGTGTCGGGATTAAAGGTGTGCATCACCACTGCCTGGCCTCTGTGGTTAACTAGTGGCTTAGCTCTGCTCTCTGATCTTCAGGAAAGCTTTATTTGTTAGAGCACAAACAAAATGTCACTGCAAAGGCTGGTGTGCAGAATGTGTGAATGGTCAGATAGAGTCAACCCTACTTAAAGTCTGACCTCTGTGTTTCTACTATTGGTAAGTGATGAACTTTTAAAATTGTATTTAAATGTTTTCAAGAGCCATAATCTGCTGATAAATTCTTCTGAGTTTTTAAGATGATGGACATTTCTCTTGCCTAAGTGACAGTAGAACAGATCCATTAATACTCATCTACACACACTGGCCCAATCTTTCTAATTTTTTGGTTTTTGATTTTTGGTTTTTCAAGACAGGGTTTCTCTGTAGCTTTGGAGCCTCTCCTAGGACTAGTTGTTGTTGACCAAGCTGGCTTCAAACTCACAGAGATCTGCCTGCATCTGCCTCCCAAGTGCTAGGAGTAAAGGTGTGCACCACCACCGCCCATCTTAGCCCAATCTTTTAAACTCAATGTCCCTCCAGTGTTACTTTTATTTGCAGATGATCAGTTCCTGAGTCTAGCTGTTGTCAATTATATGTAACATTTCATTTCACAATAGTGTGTCCTTTGCATATATAAGTATTTAAAAGCATCTCACAAATTTCAAGTCCATGATACTTTAAAATTTGTATTTCATTTTCAAATTAACCTTCTAAGATATAGTCATTAGCGAGCTTATGGATGCCATGACATCTATGATTGAGTCTTAGAAACATACTGTTCAGATACAATTCTGAGGCCTAGATAGTTAGCGGTTAAGATCCCTTGCTGCTCTTACAGAGGATCTGAATTTGGTTCCTATCAGCCACATGGTGGCTCACAACCATCTGGAATGGGACCTGACTCCCTCTTCTGTCATGCAGACATACATGAAAGTAGAACGTTCATATATATATATATATATATATATATATATATATATATATATATATAAAAATTTTACATTTTAAAAGAACATTTCATTGCCCAGTCTTATATATATTGCCTAGTGACTCATGTTCCAAAGTTAATTATCTCTTTGTCTTTTTAAAAAAATTGACAATGTTTTCAACTTTTCTTCCTTTTCTCTCTTAACATTTACTTATGTTGTGTGGATGTACATGTGTGAGTGTGCATGCACACCATGATGCGAGTGTGCAAGTCAGAAGACAATTTTCAGGAGTCATTGGGTTGCAGGGATTGAAATCATGTTGGCAGGCTTGACAGCATGTGATTTTACCCACTGACCCATCTCTCAGGTCCTGTTTGTTTGGGTTGGGTCCTGATTTTAGGCTGATCTTCAGCTCATGATCTTCCTGCCTCAGCCTCCTATGTCCTAAGATGCTGGGTGTGCTTTGCAATCCTTAGCTACATGAAACCTTTTGAAGCTACTTGGTACAGAAATTCATCCAGAGAAGAGGCCGCTAGGGCCATAGTCATTTCATTTTATAATATACATGTAAATTGTAATGTATAAACAGTGCGGAAATATAAAAACAATATTCTTATTGGTGCAATGTGAATATAACAGATATCCAAACCACACAGTGTTATCCTGCGACAGAAAATACATCTACAAAAGAACTTCACCGAGAAAGACTAACTCTGGGCTGGAGGTACAGCTCAGTGTCAGGGCTCTTGCCTAGGTACTTGAGGTATTGGCTTCAGTCCCCAGTAAGTAAGAAAATGAATGAATGAGACATCTTTCATTTCTATAAAGATCTGACATCTTTATAGAAATACTAGTTAAGACAGTTAACAAAGATGCTATGCTTGAATAAAGGACCTGGGAGTGATTTACAAATATTCTAAATTAACAATTGCAAGTCAACCTATTTTTAAGTAAGTTGGTAGTGCCAAAATTATATAAAACATATATTAATAGATATTCACACGTTTACCACTTAATTTTATACCTTATACCTTCATTGTCACAAATATCAAAGGCTTATCTTTCATTTTTGTACTTTGAGTCTGTCATTCTGAATGGGATTTCACCCTGACATCATCATCAGTTAAGGCCCTTTTTAATTTGTTTAGTCTGTATGTACTTGTAGTCAATGGCTCATATTAAAATTCATCTTAGAAGATTGTTGTAAAAATTTAATGGGAAAATTTTGTTAAGAAAAATTATGTGCCTATCATACAGAGAGCCCATTATTAGCAGTGAAGCCATGAATTGGAGAGATTTTATAAAAAATGTAAGGCTATGTTCTGGTTAAAAACAAACTTTTTGGTGACTACTTGAAGGAAATCACAGGTCAAAACACAAATTTGGGGACAATTCAAATTAGACATATAAGAAAAATAAACACATTAAATACTTACACATTTAGCCACTTGGTGTCGCTGTCCACCACAAGTTCCTTCAATAAACGCAGCGGGTTTTACACATTCACACAATCCTTTTCGTCGCAGTCTCAGACAAAATGGTAACGGTAAGGGGTTTAAGATGTGAAGAATAAGAAATTGAAAATATTTAAGAAATTTTGGATCGGTGTGAGAGCATCCAAACGTTTGGAAGGGGCTTGCGATGGTGTTTTCTTGGAGAGAAGATCAGCGTCTGCTGCTCTGGCTTCTGCTCCTCGCAGCCTGGGAGACAGGGAGCGGCCAGCTCCACTACTCCATCCCCGAGGAGGCCAAACACGGAACCTTCGTGGGCCGCATCGCTCAGGACCTGGGGCTGGAGCTGGCGGAGCTGGTGCCCCGCCTGTTCAGGGTGGCGTCCAAGGACCGCGGGGACCTTCTGGAGGTAAATCTGCAGAATGGCATTTTGTTTGTGAATTCTCGGATCGACCGGGAGGCGCTGTGCGGGCGGAGCGCGGAGTGCAGCATCCACCTGGAGGTGATTGTGGACCGGCCGCTGCAGGTTTTCCACGTGGAGGTGGAGGTGAGGGACATTAATGACAACGCGCCTGTATTTCCAGTGACCACAAAGAATTTGTTTATCTATGAATCTCGACCGCTTGGCTCTCGGTTTTCGCTAGAGGGCGCTTCTGACGCAGATATCGGAACAAATTCATTGTTGACTTACAGTCTTAACTCCAGTGAGTATTTTACTTTGGACGTCAAAAGAAAAGATGAAGAAGTTAAATCCCTGGGACTCGTGCTGAAAAAACTTTTAAATCGAGAGGACATTCCTGAACATCATTTACTGATAACGGCAGTTGATGGCGGGAAACCGGAGCTGACTGGCACCACTCAAGTGAAGATCATTGTCCTAGACGTGAACGACAACGCCCCCGCATTTGAGAGGACGCTCTACAAAGTCAGATTATCCGAAAATGCACCAAATGGTACCGTAGTAGTGGACGTCAACGCCTCTGATTTGGATGAAGGAGTGAATAAGGACATTGTATATTCTTTCCACACGGATATGTCAGCTGAGATCCTGTCAAAATTTCACTTAGACCCGGTTGATGGATACATCACTGTGAAAGACAACATAGATTTTGAGGAAACGAAATCTTTTGAAATCCAGGTAGAGGCAGCAGACAAGGGAACCCCTCCAATGACAGATCACTGCACGGTTCTAGTTGAAATTGTAGACGTTAATGATAATGTGCCTGAACTGGTCATCAAATCACTATCAATTCCCGTGTTAGAAAATTCTGCACCTGGCACCGTGATCGCCCTGATCAGTGTGACAGATCGTGACTCTGGAGCCAACGGGCAGGTGACCTGCTCCCTGACCCCTCAAGTTCCCTTCAAGCTGGTGTCCACCTTCAAGAATTACTATTCGCTCGTGCTGGACAGCGCCTTGGACAGAGAGACCACACCTGACTATAAGGTGGTGGTGACAGCCCGGGATGGGGGCTCTCCCTCGCTGTGGGCCACCGCCAGCGTGTCCGTGGAGGTGGCTGACGTGAATGACAACGCGCCCGCGTTTGCGCAGCCCGAATACACGGTGTTCGTGAAGGAGAACAACCCACCTGGCGCCCACATCTTCACGGTGTCAGCCATGGACGCAGACGCTCAGGAGAACGCACTGGTGTCCTACTCGCTGGTGGAGAGGCGGGTGGGTGAGCGCTCGCTGTCGAGCTTCGTGTCTGTGCACGCAGAGAGTGGCAAGGTGTTCGCTCTGCAGCCTCTGGACCATGAGGAGCTGGAGCTGCTGCAGTTCCAGGTGAGCGCGCGGGATGCTGGTGTGCCTTCCCTGGGCAGCAATGTGACTCTGCAGGTGTTTGTGCTGGATGAGAATGACAATGCGCCCACGCTGCTGGGGCCTCAGGCGGGCAGCACAATGAACGAACTGGTGTCCCGGACGGTGGGTGCAGGACATGTGGTGACAAAGGTTCGCGCAGTGGATGCGGACTCTGGCTACAATGCGTGGCTGTCCTATGAGCTGCAGTCAGTCACGGGCAGCGGGCGCCTTCCATTCCGGGTGGGTCTGTACACCGGTGAAATCAGCACTACTCGTGTCCTAGATGAGACAGATGCGCCAAAACAGCGCCTACTGGTGCTGGTGAAGGACCATGGCGAGCCAGTGCTGACAGCCACAGCCTCCTTGCTAGTGTCTCTGGTGGAGAGTGGGCACACGGCAAATGCCCCATCACGGGCTTTGGTGGATTCTGCGGGCAGGGAGGCATCGCTGGTGGATGTCAATGTGTACCTGATCATCGCCATCTGTGCCGTGTCCAGCCTGTTGGTGCTCTCGCTGCTGTTGTACACCGCGCTGCGCTGCTCAGCGACTCCCACAGAGGATTCCTGCGGTCCCGGGAAACCCGTGCTGGTGTGCTCCAGCGCGGTGGGGACCTGGTCCTACTCTCAGCAGAGGAGACAGAGAGTGTGTTCTGGAGAGGGTCCACCCAAGGCCGACCTCATGGCCTTCAGCCCAAGTCTTACACCCTGCCCAGTTAATCAGGAGAAAGAGGACAAACTGGTCTCAGACATTGATTTCTCCGTCAAAGTGAGTAATTTTCCCCTCTAAATTGGTCTCGTTTTATATGCTAACATTTTCACTCCTTGGAGATGGGTTAAAGTTATTCTATTCACGTTTTTTTCTGTTGAGCCCTTTGCACTTACTAATTTTGCCGCTAAAATTGTAGGTTCTTGTGTCTAAATTGTGTACTGAATTGACAAGTGTCTTTGTTGATAAATACAGTGGTAGGGTTATTTCGCCGCAGTCTGTGTACAAATTTGAACCGTTCTCTTCTTGTGTGAAGGACATTATTTAGAGCACCTGGTTCCAGCTCCCTGTCACTAATCCCTGTGCAAATCTTCAATATCTTTTGCTTCTTTCTCAAGGATTTTTGGGAAGAACAAGTAGACCAGTCACTGGCCCACTATTGAACTGGTCGTTAATCATGGTTGGTATTCAGAGATGGTCACCAGTGAGAATTTTATTTGACTTATCACTCACAGGACATTAGGATCCTTACAACTACAAGAAGGGGCTAATGCTGAAGAAATTTTACTGGGATGGTAGTTTAAAAATTATATCTATACAGACTTATTTTTAACAAATTACCCAAATTGAAAATAGTTTTTCATTAGATTAAAAATATTATTTTGAAAACATTTAAATATATTGTGAGAGTATTACATTTTATTCCACAGTGATTTCAATTAAACTATGTATGTGTTTGGTACGTGCACATATGCGCTCTTAACCAATAGCTATCTCGTCTCTCTATAGTAACACTTTAAGTGTTACATTAAAAATTATGAGAAATCAAAGTGAAACAAGGTTCTGAAAACACCTTTCATAGAAACACATTTTATATGTTGTCCTCATATTTTTGCCCTGAAAATTGAAACACATTTTTAATATTGTGAAGTTATTTTCAGTTTGGACCATGAATATCTATCTGCTTTGCAATAAGAAACCTTTAGATAATTGATACCAAATAAAATAAGTGGGACTATTCTTCAGTTATTTTTGCAATGCATATGTCCATTTCTCTTACGAAATACTTGGCCTCCCATCCAATTCCCCTTGTTTCCAGAGGGAACTAATACTCAATTAAACCTGATTAGTGCTTCATGCATGTGATTACTCCAACGTGTGAAATATGTTTTCTTTATCCTTTCTCTGTCCCGTTTCCACTTTCTTTCCAAGAATTATCCTTCTCTGCTGCTTCATTCATCAAGTATTTGCTGTGGCAAATCCAACCTCAATTCAATACTTATTTTATCAGTTTGTTATCCTGCTGTAGGTCACAGGGTCATCCAGCATCCAGAGTGCCTCTTTCTCAGATTAGGATTTTCGTCTTCTAATCTAGCTCTTTTTGAAATGCTTGATTAAAATATTTTCAAAAATATATTTTTTGAATAATTTTGAGATAGGATTTCAAACAGTCCATTTGGGCTTGAACTTCAGTGAAGATGACTTGAATACATTTGAAGGGTTTTCTTTTCTCTTTAGGTATGTATTTGAACTATACAAGTGAATAATTAATTAATTGATTTGTTGATCATTTAATTAATGCACATGTGTGTCACACATATAGAGATCAGAGGGCAAGCTGTGGGAGCTGACAACTGTCTTTCCTCCATGTATTCTGGGGATCGAACTCAATTGCAAGTTTTCATGGCAACTGCTTTTTGCCCACCAATTCTTTGCATTGGCTGCAAAATGAGTATTTATTTATTTAACATGTATTTGTTTCAAATAAGTATTGTGTTAGTTATTTATCTTGCATCTGTGACAAACTCTTGATAAAATCAACTTAGAAAAGGAAAGGTTTGCTTTTGCTCTCAGTTCCAGCGTACGGTCCATCATGACTGGGAAGTCTTGGCATCAGGTCAGCTTGTGCTTGCGGTCAGGAAGCAGAGAGTGTTGAACACTTGTGCTCAGCTCTTTCTGCTTTTGATTCAAAGCAAGACTCCAGCTGTGGGATGGTATTGCCCACTTTTATGATAAATCTTCTCACCTCAATTAACGTACCCAGAATATCCCTCATGGTCACACTCAGAGGGTGGTTGCCATTAGGGTTGTTGGAAATCAAGTTAATAATGATGATCAGCTGTCACAAATATCCATTCCTCAACCTACACATCTACAGCTCTGTAAATAAAACAAAGTGAATGTACTTCTTGTGGCTTCTTACGGTACATTTTACATCTTTGATAATTTGAAAAAGAATCCTTTGGCCGTTCGGTGAGGGTATGTTTATTTCTGTTTAGATTCAGAAATTAGTTTTTGTGTGAGTAAGAGAGGAAAGGATAGAGGATTTTCAGAGAGGGGGGCTTAAAATTATTTTTGATAACTTGATATTTTGGGTCTAAACAAACTTGAAAGAAAGAAACTTACAAATTTAAGATGCAAAAGTAGTCTGCAGAGGGTCACCTCTGCCATCTCCTTTCCTTTAAGGTTCTATAGGAGTCTGAGGAGGCACCTTCACCATCTCCTTCTTTGCTAAGGCTGTATAGAAAATTACTTTATTTGTTGGGAACTCTCCATCGTCCATTAAAACCCTGGATGAATCAAAGGTTATGCCTGGCAAAATGTGACATGAAGATTAAGGCAAACCCCAGGATTCCTAAATTGAAATATATCTTATTTAGGCCAATGTCTTATGAAGATTTTTATCTTCTATAGATTTCTATCTCTAGAAAATTAAAGTGTTGAGACTCATGAGTTTTAACCTTTCATTAACATATTTTATTAAGAAATTAATAAACAAAACTGGACTGGGGATGTAGTCCAGTTTCTAAAGTGCTTGTCTAGTATGCAAGAAGCTCTGCGTTCTATGCCCAGCACCCCATGAAACTTTTGGTGCTTCATGTCTGTAATATAGCACTCGGGGCAGGGGAATCAGACATTTAGGGTCAACCTTGGCTACACTGTGAGTTCAAGAATAGCCTGGGGTAAATAAAACACTGTCTCAAAAATGAAAGGAAAAGAAAACCAGTTGTATTGGGTCAATATCTTGCAAACATTACTTGAATACCTTTGCGGTACTAATATTAATATGTAATACTTAACGTTAAAAGTATTATTTCAAAAGAGGGCACACATAGTTAGGGGGTTGTGAAGGAGAAATTAAGATAACAAATGAGCCAAATAATGCAGTCTTGGTGTTGCAGATTATCAAAGAGAGTAAAATAACTGTCCAATTGCTTTAATCATAAAATGTCTCATAATTTGGGGAGCTTTAAAAATGGTTACAAAGTGTGTGCGATTGGTTTGTAGAGAGTTTAGAAATTTTTTTTCCATTTATCTAGCCAGCCCTACATCCTATGACCCAATTTAAGACTGGCCTGAGAATCTACTTTAAAAAATTATTTACCTTTATGTCTTATGGAAACAAATTACACAGACTCTCATTTTCTAAACCCATTACTTAATGGACATAGGGGGTGTGTCTGTTTGCTAATGAATGCTTTTTCAGAGGTAAGAAATTTTCCTCTTTGACTAAAATACATGAGAACAATGTGAGAAAATAGAAATCTAGGCAGTTGAACTCCAGAAAGCACCTGAAATTTACAAACTTTGAGAAGACAATGAGACTGCCACATTTGCTTAGAGGAGGTGAAGTTCCTTAGAATAAAATAATGTGGAAAGCTCTTCCACACTAACTATTTACTACATGCTTCACATTCTACATTAAATCTCCCATGTACATCCAGCCCTTCTGTGATTCCAGGAAGAAAGTCAATCGAACATTAACAGACTTTGATTTCTTAAAACAATATCTGCAAATTCCCTTTTCGATGACTTGTTCTTAGAATCAGTGGTTCCCTAAATATTCTTTCTCTCAAGATTCAGAACCAACACTGTAAACCCAAGGATGAACAAAGTATCATTAGCAATCACAACCCATCATTTGATAATGCATGAGGAATCTGTCATGAATTTTCCTAGTCTACACCTCACTACTGCATATTTACGAAGTTTATATTAATGACAGTTGGGTCTCTGTAAATACTTAAAACCTACATGAAAAAAAGAATTTCTATTGTATTAGAAGTTGATGTTCTGGTAAAAAGAAAGATCACACACATTTAATCACTGGTACAGAACGCATACCTGCAAAATATAACTCTATTTTGCGAAGCAGAAAAACCTATTTGAGAGGCTGAAGGAATAAACAAGATAATTTTTAGTGTTGTACATTTCCGAAACCCATACTTACAGTTTGGGGCCACATGATGTCGCTCTTTACCATAAAATAAATCCGACAGAAGACAGACTAAAGGAAAAACCATTTCCATTCCTCCCGGAAAGCTGCACACCATCCCGGATCGGAACAATGGAGGATGCAGTGGCGATGGACTGACGGATTAGAATTCTATCTCTGAGAGGATTCCTAATCAGAACAAAGGATTGTGCGCTTGAGATGGAATTTTTCTGGGGAAGTGGCCAGGAATCACGGCGCCTGCTTTTCTCTTTTTTGCTTCTTGCAATCTGGAAGGGAGGGAACAGCCAGCTCCACTACTCCATCCCCGAGGAGGCCAAACACGGAACCTTCGTGGGTCGCATCGCTCAGGACCTGGGGCTGGAGCTGGCGGAGCTGGTGCCCCGCCTGTTCAGGGTGGCGTCCAAGGACCGCGGGGACCTTCTGGAGGTAAATCTGCAGAATGGCATTTTGTTTGTGAATTCTCGGATCGACCGGGAGGCGCTGTGCGGGCGGAGCGCGGAGTGTATTATCCACCTGGAGGTGATCGTGAACCGGCCGCTGCAGGTTTTCCATGTGGAGGTGGAGGTGAGGGACATTAACGACAATCCTCCCATATTCCCCGCGACACAAAAGAATCTGTTCATTGCAGAATTCAGGCCTCTTGACACTTGGTTTCCACTAGAGGGCGCATCAGATGCAGATATCGGAATCAATGCTCTGCTGACTTATAGGCTAAGTCCCAATGACTATTTTTCTTTGGAAAAACCCAACGATGAACGTGTAAAAGGTCTTGGACTTGTATTACGAAAATCCTTAGACCGAGAGGAAACTCCAGAGATTTTTCTATTGCTCACAGCCACCGACGGAGGCAAACCCGAGCTGACCGGCACTGTTGAGTTACTCGTTACAGTGCTGGACGTCAATGATAATTCTCCAGTTTTTGACAGATCTCTTTATACCGTGAAGTTACCAGAAAACGTCCCAAATGGGACACTGGTAGTCAAAGTCAATGCCTCTGATTTAGACGAAGGTGTGA